ACCAACCATTGAAAGATCGATGATAAAAAAAAAAAAAAAAAAAAAAAAGATAGATGATAGCTAGATAGACGATAGATTGATAAATGATACATGGAAGAAAGAAAAAGGAAGGAAGGAAGGAAGGAAGGAAGGAAGGAAGGAAGGAAGGAAGGAAGGAAGGAAGGAAGGAAGGAAGGAAGAGAGAAAGAGAGAGAGAGAGAGAGAGAGAGAGAGAGAGAGAGAGAGAAAGGAAGGAAGAAGAGGAAGAAGAAAAGGAAGGAAGAAAAACTGGTTAAAATATATCTGGTTGTTTGTTTTTGAACTCTTTCAAAATCCTGTCATATTTTAAGTGGTTTCCTGGGTTTTACTTTGTTCACTGACTGTTATTCTTCCATGTCACTGCATTTAGCTATAGCTTATCTGTTTTCATTCTTTTATATTATTCCATTATGTGTACATATCACAATTTATTTCTTCTCGTCAGGGTGTATATAAGTATACATTTATCTATCTATCTTTGTGTGTGTGTGTGTATGGGTGCTTTTTTACTAGTCCTGTGTCAAAGGAGTTTCCTCCGTTGGTATGAACACTAGCAGGAGTTATTAAAGTGATTACAGTAAATACCTAGAGCCTATGGAGAATATTTGCACAACCTGGTTATTGGGAAGAGCACCAGGGATGGCAGGGGAGACCTGGATTTGAATCCTGGCTCTGCCACTTGCCAGCTAGCCTACAGGTCCCAGAGGTGGTAAAATAGGAGCAGTTCTGGTGATAAATAGTTGCCATAGTGCATATTTACTAGTCCTTGTGCACTATCTCAATAAAACCTTTCAAGAGCCCTTCGTCATAAGACAATTATCGATTATCGAATTCTTATTCTCATTCACAGTCTCTTTCCATAGATAAGGAAACAAAGTCAGTTGAATGGCTTAAAGCCTTTGGTTGGAGTTAGGTAGAACTGGTTTGAAAACCATCTCTACCACTCACCAGCTGTGTGACCTTGAGTTAGTCGCTTAACCTCCCTCGCGTCTATTTCTTCATCTATAAAATGAATAATAATTCAAGTGGGACCTAACATTAGTTGAGCATTTATTAAATGCCAGGACTATCCAAAGTACATTATGGGGATTCACTTAGATTTTCACAATAGCTCTATGTGGTTAAAAAAAAAAATTATTATCCACATTTTACAGAGAGGAAACAGAGAGAGTTTAAGTGATTTGTCTGATTTGTCCGAGTTCACTTAGACCTTGAGCCGCAGCTGGAACTCAGGAGTAATAATACCATCACACACTGTGATTGTGAGAGTTGAGTGATCCATTACGATAACATATATAGAAGTAAATATATGATAAGAGTAACACAAAGGATAAGAGGAGATATAAAAGAAATTATACTGAACGTACAGATAAGGGTCTTACATTATACACGAAATGGTAACTCAGTCTGGACTGTGATAAATTCAAAATGAATACTGTAATCTCTGGAGCAAGCACTAAAAATAAATTACAGAAGTATATCATATCATAACATGTCATTACATTATAAAAAGCTAATGAAAGTAATAAAATGAAAAATAAGAGTGAGGATTAGCTCTTTGTCTTATAGTCTTTGGCTCTAATGAATTTTTCTATTCCGAAATGAGAAATTTTTTTAGCATCTTCTCGGTGTAGCCATATTATTTGCTTATTAGATTTTCAGAGCTCTTACTAAGATTTAAGACCTAGTTCTCTAATCCCGTGAACAACTAAGTTGCAATACAAAGTGATAAGAGCTTGAATTCAGTCTCCTTTTTACTGGGTTCTGAAATCCTCTGCTCTCAGAAAATGCAATCTTCCACCTGAAGCTTGGCACCCGACGATTTGGACTCCAGCGCATCTGTTAGTGAAGATTTTCTAAAATAATCTCCGTTGCCACTGAGGACAATGAACTTCTGCAAAAGAGAATCTGTCAATCAGCAAGGAATCCTTTCTTTAGAGCCCTTATTACTCAACTCGTTTCTGTGTTGAGGGAAATATTGGTATCTACCCCCCCAAAAGATGCTCTGTGTGGGTGTGTGTATTGGTGACAAATGTGTCGAGGGGTAGTCCTTAAGGCTCCAGTAAGAAAGCTTTGAAAGAACATGATGGCAGGAGCTCCTAAACTGGGGTCCATTGGCTTCAGTGGGAGGGTGGCTGAAAGTGTACGCTGATGGCATGTTCCTGGGGAGAACACGCAGAGTGTTATCAGATTCTTAAGGAACAGGAGCCGTGACCTGTTCTAACAGGCTAAAAGGACAATGCCATCTTCTTTTGAGTTGCTGAAAGTATTCCTCTCCCCCCAGCCCTACACAAGCCTCAAAACTGCCAATTTTCTCGTCTGTAGTACAGAATTGTGTCAAAAACAAACAATACTCATTGGCTTCACTGAAGAAGTTCTAGCAGCAAAACTGGCTTCTGCTCAACTCCTTTTCAGAACCTGTTTATTAACATCTTGCAGAATAAAACTGTGAAGTCACCAGGCAGGAAAATGCTGGTTTAGAAAGTTGACTTGTTTTCCCACTCATTTCAAATATGTACCAAGCTTGTACTACTGTAAGAATCTTAGGTGCTATGGGGACGGCCGTGGAGCCTGAGAACCGGGTCCCCTGGAACTAACCTGCAGACACGAGGCTCAGCTTGGCATTTGAGAGCATGGAGACAGTTCACGCCAAATCTGGACCCAACCCAGCTCATCTCTCGGTAGTAATTTGCCTTCGGAAAAATCATGAAATGTCTTTGAGCCTCAGTTTAGATTCCTCCCTCTGTGAAATGGGGCTAGGTCGGTAATTACTATTTAGTTTTATTTTTTTCTTTATTGATTTTAGAGAGAGGAAGGGAGAGGGAGAGAGAGATGGAAACATCATTGAGAGAGGACATGGATTGGCCACCTCCTGCATGCCCCCCACTGGGGATTTGGCCCACAACCTGGGCATGTGCCCTGACCGGGAACCGAACCGGAGACCTCTTGGTGCACGGGTTGACACTCAACCACTGAGCCACACAGGCTGGACCACAGGTGATTTTTAAATTCTTTTGAAAATATATTATATTCTTAGTCTTTTGGCTATATCCCCGCCCTGCCCCCCTCTTTCCTCTCTAACTCTGCCTCTAGGCCCACAGGTTCAATTTGTTCAGCCACCCTCCCCCACTTCATTCTTGGTCTTGAAGAAATCACTCATTTCTATCCAAGGCTCTTTGTCCTTGCTGCTTTCCTGGGTCCTTGCATCTCTGCGTTTCCTTTGCTCACTCTTACACGTGGATTCCAGCTCACACGCTCCTGCCAAAGAGAATTTGAGTGACGGTTCACCAGGACCGCATACTCTCTCCCTCGCCTTCCTCGAACCGTTTTCTCCGCACTCACCATGATCTCCTACTTATGTAGTTTGTTTTCAGATCATTTCTCCTCATTAGAACTTGTACAGGGCTGTCTGCCTGAACACAAGACAGTGCTCAGTAGTACCTATTTGTTGAATAAAATGAATCGAGTAAAGAAGTGGCCTGAAAAGGGCGTGGATTTTCAGACAGTACGAATGAAAAACTCATCAGCAATAGCAATTATGCACAACATCTACATTTCAGAAGAAGGCAGACATGTTTACATTTGCATAACAAATTGGGTCAATAAAGTAGTTGCTCTAGAACAATAGTCCCATATCAATGGTGACCTCAGATTTCAACAATGCAAAACAGAAAATCTCTTCTCCTCCCACAAGGTTTACAAAAAAATTCTTAGGTGGTTTTCCCCCTGGCTAAATGTGACATCTATTAAAATGGCTGAAAGTTACGGGTTAGTTAAGGGTGATATTGCCCAGCGATTCAGAGGGAAGATTATTTCCACCTGGTACATGTGGACGCAAGATTGGGCTCTGATGAACAGGTAGGATGGAATGGGTTAATGGGCAGATGGATGGACTGGGAATGAAGCATTATAGGTGGAGGGAGCACCGCATAGTTTCCATCAGAGCCACCAAAAACCGTCTTAAATAGACCTTCAAGCTAAAGTAAGAGCACAGGACGCCCTCTGCAAAGGCAGCAGCTTCCAGCCTTCACACCCACGCGCTCGCCTCCCATCAGCCTCTCCTAGCCATTCTGGAACCTCTGCTGGGTCCAGGAGCGGAGGGAAGGCCCTAGCGTGGATCCCATTTCCTCCTCGTAAATGAACGGTGGTCAGTAAGACTAAGGCTGGAGAGAAGAGCCTCGAATGCCAGGGCAGGGCCATCAGTGAGTGACAGTATGAATAAAGAAGTTTAAGAGGAAAGCGACCGGTTTGGCTGCTCATAGTCCAAGCAAGAAAGGCAACACGAGGCCCAGGATCAGGGGAGAAGTAATAGGAATTAAAAAGGGGGACAGGTAAGCATTGCATCGGTCAGAGGTTTCCAACTGGGCTGTGAGGGCCTGCGGGGCTGCAACTTATTTTGGGTGGGGGTTTCATGGGGTCCGTTCTAACGCGTTTGGCCCATAAGAGACAAATTATTTTGCGCCTCTTCAAAATAATAGCTCCTGGTGTCTACTGGCCGTATCATGGAATAGAAATTATGAAGGCACTGTATCTTTTAAAAAAAATCCCCTTTTGTAGTACTTCCTTAAAAACAGCTATTTAATGCAACCCTGCCAGTGAGTTCTTGACAGTTCTGTCTTAAGGATCCTGGTATTCATGAAACGTCTTTGTAAAGGGTTGAAGTGTCTTCTTGGTAAGTGTTCAGCTTATGCTTTTCAAAATACCTTGTAAAAACTGTTATTAATTTTCTCCTTTGGCCTACTGAGTCTTTTTTATTGACTGCCCATTCTGATCCAAGAACTCTGAAGCAGTTGAGTGATCAATACGTTTTCAAACATTTTTCTGCCCTTGGAGTTCGCTACTTTTGAGAGTTGTGATAGTTCTGTTGGGGGCATCGCAGTAAACAAGAGTAGATCCGTTTCAGTATTTAATTCAAAGTACAACACTCATGCATTGGCTTTGGCGCTAATGAGTTGAGGCCTGTTTGACTGAAAGTCATTGATATGGTTATTTATTTATTTTATTGTCTGCGTGTCGTCCTTGCGCAGGGCCTGTGCTGATCTTCTCTGTATCGTTCCAGTTTTAGTATATGTGCTGCCGAAGCGAGCACTTGATATGGTTCTTGAGAAATACATTTTCCCCAGCTTTCTTGAGGTATATAATTGACATATAAAATCGTGTAAGCTTAAGGTGTGCAACATGATGATTTGACATATATTAGGAGATGGTTCCCACGGTAAGGTTAGTTAACACATTCATCACCTCACACAGTTACCTATTTTTATGGCTTTTCTTTACCTGACATGATACAGTGATTTCCAAGACCTGAATAGAATTTAGATGTTTGACATACTAATGTATTATAGATCTGTATAATAATAGCATTAGCGTGCCATCTCATTGTATTATGAGTGTTAAATATTAGAGTAAGCTCATTGTGCTTGCAGGATAAATGTTAAGAACTAGTATAAACAGTTGTGCTAAATGAAAGGATAAGCAAAGCTGGATCCCTCACGTGCTCTTTATTGTGGGGATTTATTTATTTGTGTGTGTGTAGTTTTTGTTTTTGCTTTGTAAATCCTCACCCGAGGATATTTTTCTATTTGTCATCAGATAGAGTGGGAGGGAGGGAGAGAGAGAAAGAGAAACATCGATATGAGAGGGACCCATGGACTTGTTGCCTCCTGCACGACCCTGACCAGGGCTGGGACGAACCGCAACCGAGGTACGTGCCCTTGACCGGCGAACCCGAGACTCATTGGTCCTCCGGCCGACGCTCTAACCGCTGAGCCAAACCGGTCAGGGCTGTGTGTGTAGTTTTATAGAACATAGAGTTAAAAAAATACTTATTATGGGTCTGCATGATGATTGTTTATTTAAAACAAAATCTAAATTACCTACAGCGATAAAAACTTAGATACAAAAATTATAGGCCAGGGTTTTTAACTCAGGATTTTAGAAAGTCCATGGATGGGTGTCAAAGAGTATATTTTATTTGTAATATAATTCTACATTTCATAAGAGAAGAAGCATGTCTTTCACCAGATTCTCTGAAGGCTATGTAGCATCATAAATGTAAAAAAAAAAATCACTGCTACAAACAAATAGCCATGCTAAGATAAAAATGATTTGATTTTCAGTATTTTGAATTACTTTTAAAATATTTTGAACTACTTAAATATATTCTTGAGTTATTTCCCTATTCTCTTATAAGTTAAGCCAGTTAGGTAATTAATTCTATTTAGTTTTTTTAAATGTAAGAAGTTTTGCAATGATAGAAAAGCAAAATATAATGGTTGTAGAGAATTTTGTAGAAAGAAAATTTGTACTCAACAAATAGGATTCAGATGGTACTTTTGGTTTATAGAAGACATTTTTAGAAAGTATTTTGAGTATGATCTTTTAATTCAGAGGCAAATTAAATAGACAGTATTTAATTTTGTATTTTAAATATTTATCTTTTTCAGAATTGTCAATTTATTAATGAAGTATGGTAAGTTGTCATTTTAAAATCTTTATTCATCCTATTTAAAATAAAACATATGGATCAGATTAATGAGAGCATGAAATGGTTTGCAAAGTTCTTTAAGTTTTAAAGACATGCTTTTGAAATTAAGAGGATTTCATTTTTAAGTAATGATTGAGATTCTGTTTGATTAAGGATAATTTATTGATCCCTTTTTTCATATCAATCTCCAGCCATACAATCCCTTGCTAAAAGTTTACAAGAATGTTAAATACTATACTAGAGAATGCATACTGGTCTCTAAATACTACACTATATGGCAAAGGATCTCAACCAGGGTCGATTTTGTTCCTCAGGGTATATTTGAATATATTTGAGACAGGTGGGGTTATCATAGCTATTGGAGTGCTACTGGCATCTGGCGAGTGGCTGGAGGCCAGAGATGCTGCTGAACGTCCTACAAAGCCCAGGGCAGTGTCCGAGAGCAGCGACTTAACCAACGTAAAATGTCCGTAAGGGCCATGGTTGAGAAATCCTCCTCTGTATCAGAAAAATTAAGTCCAATTGATAATTTCGCAACTCCAGAGTTCTGCCATTGTTCTTACAGGCTTGTGTGGAACAAGATAAACTGGGTCAAGCGTTTGAAGATGCTTTTGAGGTACTGAGGCAACATTCAACTGGAGATCTTCAGTGCTCCCCAGGTAAAATGGCTTGTTGGCAACATACATATGCAAGACTAAGGATCAGAACAGGGCAGACCATCTTTACCCAATGCAGCTAGAATTAATTCTAACAAAGGCAAAATGCATCCAGGGTCATCCAGCCTAAGTAAATCTAAAGTCTCACATATAAAATGCAAAGAACATAGAGAATGACATTCCACATAGGACTACTGAGATATATGATTATTTGTTATTAAGCATGTCTTGTGGACATTTATTTACATAATAGACAGACAATGTATACTATTCAGAAAGTGTTTTTCAATTATTCTAAAAGAACTTCCACCCATCCAAAATATATTCTACTTGGAAAAATAAGTATGCTATTTTTCCTTACCCATTATCCTATAGATCATAGATGTATAGTCTAAATGAGATGCAGATACTTTGAGATGCAGATAAATTGAGTTTACACAGGGTATTGTGGCAAGTTCCAAGATAAAGGAAATCCTGGGATCTGGACCTGCAAGGAACACGTACTCTGCTGGGAGAAATGGAGTATGTAAGAGTATCTGAAATACCAGCATAATGCAGTAAACACCAGAGGGAAATGCAAAGTTCAAAGAACATGGGTGCGAGAAATTGCATCTATAAGCATGGATGTATCAGCACACACACACAAACGTAAACTTGAACTTTTTCCATTTCTTTCTCTGTTTTTCAATTAGATTATAAAAACTACCTGACTTTCATCAACCACTGCTCTCATGTTAGAGGAAATCCCAGCTGCTGTGGTATGCTGCCTTCAGAGGAAACGGTGTATAACTGGAGAACAGTGATAGTGAGTACACAGACCCGGAGAGCAGCCTCAGTGACCAGCACATTTCCTATTCACAGCAGCCTTCTGCTGGGCACTTGGGGTGTGCAGCTGAACCCCGGCTGAAACCCAGCACTGGCTGAAAATGCTGCCTCGTGGCTACCACCAGGGTGGGGATTTGACAGTCAAATGTGGGTGACGATTAGCAGTGCTGTCCAGAAGGAAACTGCTCTTCGTCATTGCTCTTCACCCAGCTGCAGCTGGTTCGAATGACTTCTATAAAGTGGCATTTTTAAGGCTCTAACATCACTGCTTCTCTTTAGTCCATCCGCAACACTGCAAAAAAGTTATGATAGTTCCCTAAATGCCAGAAGGGCAAAGGCACAAACATCCCCCACTCTGCCTTTACCCACAATTTTGTATTAAATCTGCTCTATTCCGTCCTGGCATCAGCAGTTAGATCGTCCGCCTGCGGTCCAGGGAGACCCGGGTTCGGTTCCCGCTAGGGGCACGTACCTCGGTTGCAGTTTGTCCCTGGCCCTGGTTGGTCGTGCGGGTGGCGACCACTCGATGTGCCCCTTTCACGTCGATGTTTCTCTCTCTCTCTTCCTCTCTCTCCCTCCCACTCTATCTGAACAAAAAAATGGAAAAATGTCCTCGGGCGAGGATAAAAAAAATAATAATAAAATAAATCTGCTCTATTCCGCCCACCCCCAAGTTCAGAACTAACTATGTGTATTGGGCCAATTAGCTTATATTTTGGTAGCCTCCCGCAGAGCAAATGGCCCTACCATCCACTCTCCATTGATGTGTTCTTTCACGCTGTTCTAATGTATCCAGTTTACGAAAGCAGTCTTACTGTGGTAGAGAGTAAATAGGAAATGATTTTTCTTTTTTCTTTAGAATCGTGCTATGTAAAAAGGCCTTTTTCTGACCCTGTAAATTGTTCTGTCACGGACGTTCCACAAGATATTTTTTGCAGGGAGTCCGTGGCTCCAGTGTAAGCCCTCCTGCCTGCCTCCAGACAGGGTAGCCAGGTAAAGGGCAGGGTGCCCGATGCTTCTGTTTGCTCAGTCTGGCGACCCTACTTCCACTTCAGTGCCCACACCCTGGCATTCCCACACCACACTTCCCCTTGTGGCTGTGGTCAGGTGGCTCAAGTCCAGCCCCTTCCACTGTGTGCAGTTAACCCATGGAGACCCACGTATTCTTTTAATATTTATTTATTATTATTATTATTTTCTTTATTGATTTTAGAGAGAGGGGAAGGGAGAGGGAGAGAGAGAGACAGAAACATCGATGAGAGAGAACATCTGATTGGCCGCCTCCTGCATGCCCCCCAATTGGGTATTTGGCCCACAACCTGGGCATGTGCCATGACCGGGAATTGAACGGGCGACCTCTTGGTGCATGAGTCAATGCTCAACCACTGAACCACACCGAGCGGGCAAGAGACCTTATCAAACGTCATGGTAGGAGCTCAGGCTGCTTCTTCCTGTCTCCCCTGGTGGCTCTGCCCTCCTTTGGCTGCCATCTTTGTCCTCTCATCTCCTCTTGCTTGGATGGGCATCCAAAGCAGGAATGGAAGCCCACCTTCCCTTTTTGCTGACACCTCCATTTCTACCACTGATTCTTTTGGATCTTGCTTTCTCATTGGGTATTTTTAGGAGAAAAGAGGGAAGCCATCCCGTCCTTTCTCATGGGGAGAGGAGAATATGGAACTCCTCACAAACCCAAAGACGACCCTCCATCCCAGGTCCTCTCTGCTGCTGCTCCTGCCTGGGAGATGTCTGGCCTCCGTTGAGAGTAGTGCTTTTTAGAATTTGGGATATGTTGAATATTCTTTTCTCCCCTAGCTTTTGACTTTAGCCACCAACTGGGGGCCACATGGGAAGTCCCATTTAACATCCTGCTGCATTATTTGTATAGAACAGTACTGCGGACCTCTATTTCGAAGGAAATATTCATCAGTCTCTGCAGAACATCCCTGAAAACCAGCTGGTACAACCTCCTGTTCTCCAGCAAAAGGGAGGAAAAGGTATGTGGATCCATTATATAAAAGAACCAGGTCTCCTCCAAAGCATCAAATCTGAGCTTTGAATTGTATTTGCAAAATATTCTCTAATCACAGCTGAACATGATTAAAATAAATTTTTTTTTCTTTATTGATTTTAGAGAGAGAGGAAGGGAGAAGGAAAGAGAGATAGAAACATCGATGAGAGAGAACAATGATTGGCCACCTCCTGCATGCCCCACACTGGGGATCAGGCCCACGACCTGGGCATGTGTCTTGACCGGGAATCGAACTGGCAACCTCTTGGTGCATGGATCGATGCTCAACCACTGAGACACACCAGCAGGACACAACTGAGCATAATTTAACTCATACTGAACCACTCCAAGCTGTTTGTCTTGGATGAGCCTTTTTATATCATGAAGCTGCACAGTGTTCACTTACCTCAAATACATGAATAATGTGTATATATCATATTTTAGGTATAGAAGGGAGAACTTTTTCACAAGTTATTTTAGAGGTCTTATTCCAACTGTGCAGTTCTTGGGACAGAAATCGTCCTTATTAAGTTTTCTGCAAAAAAAAGTTCCAAAATACTTTGATATTTTATAAATTTGAAATTCTTATTTCATAAATTAAGATGATAGCCCTGGCTGGTTTGACTCAGTGGTTGGAGTGTTGGCCTGTGGATCAGAGAGTCCTGGGTTCGGTTCCTGCTAGGGGCACGTACCAAAAAAAAAAAAAAAAAAAAATTAAAATAATGATCTCTAACAGAAAGGCAAAAGTAGCCTCCCAGGGCTAAGATGTGAGCCACACGCATTCACACACTACTGAAGGGAGTGTAAATCATTCCAAAGTTTTGTAAGGCAATTTGACAACATTTGTCAAAAGTTTGTGTACATATCTTTTGACTCTTCAAGACTGTGTAAACTCAGTGGTTGAATGTGAGTTCTGGGTTATTGTGTGAGCCTGGGCAAATCACTTAATCTTCTGTACCAGAGGTTGTTGATTCAAAACACAAGGAATAACAATTGTGCAGACATTGTAAGATTGCTATAAAAATTAAATGAGACAACCCATGTAATGCATCATGCTCATAGCCTGGCACTGGATAATTTCTCAAAATAACATAGATTGTGTTTGTGTGTGTGTGTGCACGCGCATGCGCGCATATATGCATGTATACATATATTATACTTCTCAAAATGTTGTTTAAGAGTAAAAAAATGGCCCTGGCCGGTTTGGCTCAGTGGGTAGAGCGTCGGCCTGCGGTCCGGAGAGACCGGGGTTCGGTTCCCGCTAAGGGCATGTACCTCGGTTGCAGTTTGTCCCCGGCCCTGGTTGGTCGTGCGGGTGGCAGCCACTCGATGTGTCCCTTCACATCGATGTTTCCCTCTCTCTCTCTCTCTTCCTCTCTCTCTCTCCCACTCTGTCTGTACAAAAAATGGAAAAATGTCCTTGGGTGAGGATAAAAAAAAAAAAAAAAGTAAAAAAATGGCAGCTCACCTACTGTATGTGTTGGTGTATAAGGTACACGGATATATAAGATGATCTCAGTTCTACAATGCAATATTTTAAATGATACTTAATCATAGCTACTTAAAATTATTTTAAGTGAATATTTTTGGGAAAACTAGTTTTGTTCCTAAAAAACAGGATACTGCATCCCCACAATTTTATAAAGTACTAAATATGCAGTAATGTTTTAATTCAGTGAGAAATAATGTATAAAAACCATGCAGAAAAATGAACAACACTTCTACCTCTGTTTAGCTTGTTACACCCACACATTTTTTTAAAAAAACCTAATTAACTATTAACTCACTCCAAGTGTGAAATTTTTATCTTTTCACTGATATTTTCTGTTGTGGAGCTTTGCCATTAGGGGACATATCATTCACAATTTTCTGTTTGTAGAGCTTCGTCTTCGACCTGAAAAAGGGATACATTTGAAACAGAATGAAATAATAATTTGGGAATTCATTATTGGGAGAAGAAGTACATGAATGAAGTAGAACATACATAGCTATTAAAAGGCATGAAGGCATACCTTATCTATTCAGCCAGGAAGAACGCTAAAACACATGTATTTTTCTGTTATAATAGTTTTTAATTCCATAATTCAAAAGTAATAACACCTTTTAAAAATTCAAATGATTCAGAAGTATGTAAGGAACAGGTGGAAGTGTTCCTTCTGTCTTGTGCTGGGCCCCAGAAGTACCCACTGACAATGGTTTGGTATTCCCTCTACCTATAGCTAATCTCTGTATTGTTCTATGTTCGATTTTATGATACCTCATTTACTAAAAAAAGTAGTATGATACCATTCACAATTTTTTATTGATTTTTAGAGAGAGGAAGGGAGGAGAGGAAGAGAGAGAGAGAGGGCAACATACATTAGTTGCCTCTCGAACACACCCCCAGCAAAGATTGAACCCACAACCTGGATATGTGCCCTGACTGGGAATCGAACTGGCGACCCTTTGGTGCTCAACCAATTGAACCACACTGGCCAGGGCTGTAATTTTTTTTTTTTTTTAATCCTTACTCAAGGATATGGATAGAGAGAGAGAGAGAGAGAGAAAGAGAGAGAGAGAGAGAGAGAGAGAGAGATCCATGTGAGACAAACATCAATTGGTTGCCTCCCATATTTGCACTGTCTGGGAATTGAACCCAAAACCTTTTGGTGTATGGGATGATACTCCAACTGACTGAGTTACCTGGGCAGGGCACCATTTGTAATTTTTAAAGACTATGCATGTTTGTTCATGCCAAAAATAAGAAAAACTTTCTAAAAATATGCAGGATAGACTAGAACTTTTACTTTCACTTTATGCTTCTGTTTTAATCATTTACCATGAGGATATAATACTTTTATTTTTAAAAAATTCTAACAGTTTAAAAGATGAGGATGCATTATAATTGACTTTACCACTTGATGAGAGACAGAGAGTTTGTTTAAGGTTGTGACTCTAATTCATGATTTGTTTTTGGTAAGTCCCTTTCATTTCTCAATTCATAAACTCAAGATAATACAATGCAAAAGATAATCTTTGTAAAACCTTTGAGGTTTTTGGATGAATGATGACTGATGCAAGAGTATTACTCCCCAGAGGCTGTTTAGAGCAGTTTGGGAATCCACTGTTCTACTTTCTCAAGGGGAAATGGAATTTGGCTAGGGATTTTTATTTTTTGTTAGCTCCTGATGGCTCTGGTGAGGCATGGCATTTACGGGCCAATTCAGAAGTCACGAAATGGGCTGGGCTGTCACCTTTGTTCTGTTTGCCTAAAGAAATTCAATCAACTGCCCTGGCTGGTTTGGCTCAGCAGTTAGAGAGTTTGGCTTGCAGACCAAAGGGTCTTGGGTTTGATTCCCAGTCAAGGGCATGTACTGGGTTGCAGGTTCGATCCCCAGCCCCAGTTGGGGCATGTGCAGGAGGCAACCAATTGATGTGTCTCTTTCACATCCATGTTTCTCTCTCTCTCTCCCCCCCCGCCCCCGCCCTTTCCACTCTCTCTAAAATTCCTCCAGTGAGGATTAACAACAACAAAAAGTAATTCAATCAACTAACAAAACAAACAAATCTTTCCAAAGTTTCCTGCCTAGTAATTCTGAAATAAAGGGCTATGCTTTCAAAGAGATAAAAACTCTGGCAGTACCATTTTATGTTACAGCAATGAAAAATATTACAATGCCCACTGTCATTGCTCACAAACACTGTCAGAATGTCATGAAGATATTTTGGCATTTTCCACTCCAGCTTTTCTATACTTTATTTTTCAAGAAATTATGCAGACCCAGAGTTCGCATTTTTATCTAAATCTTTGTTATCAGTCTCACTTAGATTTGCATAGTGTTTTGTATTGTACAAAACGGATTCACACGCCCTACCTCATTTGACTTAGCTCGTTTGAATAAAGACCTTCAAATGACTTGATTTCTGAAAATGGCTATTGAGGCTTCTCTTTAAAACCACTAAACTCTGCTGTCCACTTTGTTCAGTTTCGTTGGGCTGTAGAAAGTTCCCCTTTTCATTGAAGGATGGCACATTTTTTGACAACTTCTTCAACAAAGAAAAGTCCAGTTAAAACTTCAATAGGTCAGCCCTGGCCGGTTTGGCTCAGCGGTTAGAGCGTCGGCCTGCGGTCCGGAGAGACCCGGGTTCGGTTCCCACTGAGGGCATGTACCTCGGTTACAGCTTGTCCCCGGCCCTGGTTGGACGTGCGGGTGGCAGCCACTCGATGTGTCCCTTCACATTGATGTTTCTCTCCTCGCTCTGTTCCTCTCTCTCCCTCCCACTCTACCCGAACAAAAAATGGAAAAATGTCCTCGGGTGAGGATTAAAAAAAACAAACTTCAATAGGTCAAATAGACCCTTGACTTTCAAATCCATAAAAGGCACCCCTGGGGGGGGGGGGGAGGAAAACAGCCCCAATGCAGCCTTCCACGCTGCAGTCACTCAACAAACCCTTCTTGAGGACGTTCCTGTTGCAGCAGTGAGTGGATTCTGACCTCGTTTCCCTCCCTTTTAGGCAGGAAGAAGCTCCGACTGTTCGAATACCTCCATGAGTCCTTGTGTAATCCCGAGATGGCATCTTGTATTCAGTGGGTAGATAAAACCAAAGGCATCTTTCAGTTTGTTTCAAAAAACAAAGAAAAACTTGCCCAACTTTGGGGCAGAAGGAAAGGCAACCGGAAGACCATGACTTACCAGAAAATGGCCAGAGCCCTGAGGAATTACGGAAGAACTGGGGAAATCACCAAAATCCGGAGGAAACTAACTTACCAATTCAATGAGGCCATTCTGCAAAGACTCTCTCCATCTTATTTCTTGGAAAAAGAGATCATCTACTCACAGTATGTTCAGCCTGATCAAGGATATCTAAGTCTAAGTAACTGGAATGCAAATTGTAATTATACATATGCCAATTACCATGAGCTAAGTTACCCTGATTGCTAAATATAGTCTTACACATTATGATTTTCTAACATCAGGAATCCCTGAACCCACAATACAATATACAGATTATAGAATTGTACACTTGAAACCTATATAATTTTATTAACCTTTGTTACCCTCATAGTCAGTAAAAATAGAATTAAAAATAAATCCTTACAAATGTCAAGATTTCTCTTAATGCAAATGCTGAAGAGAAAAAGAATGTCATTGTTGCTATTGTCAAATAGCCTATAATCTACAGCCTCTTGGCAAGACATTCTGCCAGTGAACTATAAAATGATCAAGTCCCATCTGAAAGCATAGACTAAATGTCCTTGCTCTTACGATTGGCTATTCGACTTTCTTCTAAATTAACAATGCCAGTAGAGGTTGATTTACATATTAATTTAAACATTTCCTCCCATACTAAACACAAAAAAAATTACTAACATATCTGATGGCTTTAGCAACAACAAAAAACAATTGTTGATTTCATGCTGAAATACATTTAATGGCTTTACAATCTTCACTGGCTATCCTGAACTTACGTTTTCTTTGCACTTCAGACCTCGTGGTCTGTAACCCTGTGGTGCTAAAGAAGTGATGGTCTAAGGGAAATGCAGCCTAACTTAAGGAAAGCTTATACCTCCCACAAATTATTTCCTTGCGTTTCTCTCTTCCATAGGGTAGATCCAGGAGCTCATGTTTCTTGCTCTCCTGCTACTCAGCCACAAGGAGGGGCTCTTGCCCCACTATCTCTCTAGCCCAACCTTGGAGTGTGATCTTTTCCCCTTGAACAAGCCCAGCTGAGGCCAAACTGGCACAGTTGAAAGGAAAAAGAAAACGACTTTGATAAATGATAGAAACTAGCAAAAACTAAACCCATAGTGAAACCAGAATTCAGTCAGGCCAGCTTGAAAGCTGTGATTTAATCTCCACATTCCATGAGGAACCCTGGGAAGACATACTTGGTTTCTTCCTGCTTGGCAGGTTCATGCATGTACCATCCATATAGCATGAAGCAGGAGAGCTTCCTAGACTACGTGGGCCATTTTCATCCAGGCCAACAGCCCCCTGGAGCCTGCCTTAGCCAATCTGTAGCATTCCCACCCTCTCTTTTTCTTTGTGTCCTCTTGGTGCCCTCCCCAGGGAGTCTTAGAAGAGAACAAGTATGGGTTATAAAACAAAAGGAAACAAACAAAAAATACAGACAACAGAATGGTGGTTACCAGAGGAAAAGTGGGTAGGGAGAGGACAAAGAAGGTAAAGTGGGTGAAATATATGGTAACAGAGCATACAATTGAGTACCCAGATGTCTTATAATGTTGTATACTTGAAATTTATGTAATGTGATTAACCAATGTTACCCCAATAAATTCAGTAGAAATTAATAATAAAAAAAACTACATGGCAGATCCAGGGTGATTGAGTGGAGGCTAACTGATATTGGCCATCTCCACGTGTAGACTGGCTTTCTGTTATAAACCGAACACACCCGCCTGGCCGCTGTGGCTCAGTGGTTGAGCATCGACCCCGGCACCCAGAGGCTGCCTACTCAGGGCACATGCACAGGTTGTGGGCCCGATCCCCAGTGAGGGGCCTGCAGGAGGCAGCCAATCTATGTTCTCTCATCGATGCTTCCATTTCTCTCTCCCTCTCACTTCCTCTCTCTTTAAAATCAAAAAACAAAAAACTGAACACACCCAAAACTCATGTTGAAACCTATCCCCAAAGTGATGATATTTGAAGGTGGGATCTTTGGGGGGCGATTAGGTCATGAACATGAATCCCTCCTGAGTGGGCGTAGTGTCCTTACAGAAGACCCTCGGAAAGCTTTCTTTCCCTTTCCACCATGTGAAGATGCACGGCCGTCTGTGAAGTAGGAAGTGGGTCCTCACCAGACACGATGCTCTGGCACCTTGGCCTTGGGCTTCCCAGCCTCCTGGACTGAGAAATACCTTTCTGTTGCTTATAAGCCACCCAGTTTGTGGTGTTCTATTATAGCAACCTTTTCAGTTAGTGCTGACATTAAAGTGGGACTCAGCAATTACACTCATTCCCCCGCAAGGAAAATATGCTTTAGAAAACATCAATAAAGAACATGGTTTACCAAAGATTGCAAAGAGGAAATGAAAGGGTTTACATCACAAATCATTCAGTCAATGACAAAATTCCACATTTTCTCAACATAGTCCCTCCTACGTCCAACACCAGCTAGAGGGGCTCATCTGGTCAACTCTCCCAGAAGTCCCCAGTCAGCTCCAGCTCTTTACTGTTTTACAGAGTTGCTTCCTCTTGGGCAAAAGTCTTGGCTCTGCCTTTTACCCCAAAATGCACCTACCAAAGACCATTTTTACTATCAGGTCCTTATAAAGACATCCCATACTGTTCAAGCTCTAAAACCCTCTTTATATATTATGGGAAATGATACCCTGTTTCAAACAGGGTGTTCCTCACGGCCACCACCGAAGGATGGGAAGAGACTTCTTAGTCTTGACTCATGGCCCCTCTTCCCCTCGTGCCGATATCACATCATCCAACTTGTTTTCACCTGGCTGACCGGCTCAGTTCAACTCTTCTCCAGTGAGTGGGAGTTCTGAGAAGCAAACTCCATCCAATTACAGTGCATCCCATGGCAGCTTCCCATTATTCGGTTTCTTGGCCGAAGCATTAGGCATTCAATCTTTGTTTCTGGGTACTTCCTGTCAGCACCTCCTTTAAATCACAGGATCCTTCGCTGCACTCTGTTCCTGGAGCCTGTGTTCTTTCTGGTTGATTTATCCTCTTTTCTCCATTCAGTTCTTCCTATTCATAAGTCATAAGAACGTGCTGAGAATGTTTTCCTTTTCCTTATCCCAGCCATGCTGTGTAAGAAATATTCTACGGGCAATCCTATGTTCAAAGTCACCTTCTTTACGAAATGAAGAAAACAAATGTAGGAAGTGGATGGCAGCATTAATTGTAATCCATAAACTAAAAAATAGCTGATATCCTTTTCTTCCTCTCCTGTTCTGTTCCCGCTTTCTGCTACCTGTGCCCGGTAGAATGTATCGTGCTCTGGGTATCCAGTGCGAAGTGAAGCAGACATGGCTCCTTCTGTCATGAAGTTTCAGTTCTATCAGTATTTAATCACAGATTTATAAACTCTCTTAATATTGAACCCAAATTTACTTATACTGGCTTACTGATGAGCAATTTCTTGTTTGATTGAGTACGCAAATATAGTAAAGTATATAAAGTGCATTAAGGTAGAGCATTAATTGTATCTAACCTTAACTGTGCACATTGAGCTATACACTGCATAATCATCATCTAGATTAAGATACAGAACCTTCCAGCAACCCATAGGGTCTCTCATTCCTCTTCCCAATCTATGTCCACCTTCTTGAACGTTATATAAATGGAATCACATAGTATGTTCTCTTTTGCCTCTGGTTTTATTTTCTCTAATATAATATTTATGAAGTTAATCAATGTTGCTGGATATATCAGGAGTTGATTCTTTTTTATTGTTTTTTAGACTGATTTTTAAAGGACACTGCCAATTTTTTTCACAGCCCGGGAATCTCTCCTTTAAACTCCAAATGCTGAAAATACAAAATAGACCCGGAAATATTCATGCTTACCTGGATAATGTTACTTTCTGATTTAAAACCTGTTCCCCAAAGAGCTGGAATGACTCTTGTACATTCATATAATCACAATTTAAATTTATATTTAGATCCTTTGGTTCATATCTTTCTCTCCAACTCATAATCCAAGTGGGATGTGACTTTGTATTCTGACGGTATGGATTCTGGTAAAGATATTAATGTAAAAATAGGGTTAAAGCAATTTACTCCTTTTTCATGGATTGATGAAACTTAATAGAAACATTTTTAACAACTGAAGTGAACCATATTTCTTCAAGTTTCCTGTCCCCAACTTGGAGCTGAGGGTACCCTTTGCTTACCCTTGCAATATGGTGAAAAATTACTTTGAATTTCATGGATGGCAGCCTCTCTAATTTAGGCCAGGGTGGATTTTAAGGGCACTGGGTGGGTATCAGAAAGAAAGAGGACTGCAGGTACGGATTGTATGTGCTTTTTCAGGCAAGAACAGTGAGGCATCCCGTGAATGTGCAAAATAGACCACCATAAGACTGGTCGGTGAGGAGCAGCCCTAACTGATCCGGGCCCTAAACTAGTTTAATAAAGAGCTGAAAGTAGAAGAAGAACTTAAGAGCATCTAGATTTTTTCAGTAGGGGGCCACATGATATGGAAAGTGCATGAATATTTTAGTGGTGATCTGCTGAGCCAATAATTGGTGCCAAAGAAGTCAAAGATATTTGCAAATTGTGCAAGGACAAAGCTTGGCACAATGTTTAGGTCTGATTTATCGGAGGTTGATTTATTCTCTACAGCTGTAGGAGCTTGTCAAGATTCCCTCCGATAAGCAAACCCATCCAAGATTTGTAGTGTTGGATTAGTCAACAAAAGCCAGTGAGTTCATATACAGTTTAAGTGAACAGACTGAGTTTCCTATAATAAACATTTTGTGATGCAGGTGAACAAATAAAATTTTACATAACTAGCATGTTTTACATAAACAATTAAAATAGGACATCCGTGTGATAAAAGATTCCATTTACAAGTTTTAGAGTCAAACTGATATTTTTTGGAACACTGTGTTTTTTTTTCCCACTAACTCTTAGTAAACGGGAGATCAGGTGGGACGCTCTGGGTCTCAGGTTAAAACAAACAAACAAACAAACAAACAAACACCCCTCACTCGAACTGCTTCAAGCTATAAGAAAATTTACTACTCACAGATCCAGAAGTTCAAAGGAAGAGTGGGTTACAGCCATGATGCCTTGTTGCTTTTGCTTCATTTCCTGATGCCTCTGCTTTCCTTCTTGCCGTTGGAAGGGAGTAAGACAATCTCTGCACTCTTAGGCTACATCTTGACACAGCAATGTCCAAGGACAGAAAGGGCCATTTCTTCCAGTGTCTCTCCATTGTAGTCACAAGGAAACTTCCCAGAACACCCTAGACATCTCTCCTCATACTGACCAGAACTGGGTC